TGTTATTTTAGAATCTATAAAATATTTTATAATAATTATCTTTAAGATATAAGATATTACAATATGGTGATCTAATATAGTTTATAAAGATCCTGGTGTAAGTGAAACACAAGCATGTTACTCAAAGGGAGTAATCACAGTATGTAGGGAGAGACACTTCCGAGGTAAGCAATACTCACCTCCGTACCGTCAGGCACTGCTGGGACATTTGATGTCAGAGCTTCTCATGGTAATGTTGAAGTTTGGCTGCTTCCCTGGATTTAGTATGTTCCTGCAAAGCAGAGTATTTTTTATAATTCCCAAGACTGAGCTGAGTTGGCTTTTATTCAGCCACTTGCCTCTAGGTCATCCACCTCATCCAAGCTCTTCCCAGTAAATTTACTAGATGCCTTCTGCTGTGCAGGGCTTGCAGCGAGCAGTGGAGGTGCAGCAGTTCCGACATGCTGCAGGATGAGCTGCCGAATGGCAGCCCCACGTGCTGATGGACCTGACAGATGATGATTTTTATATGTTGCCTTCTCTTGCCATGTTTTACTCCTAAGTGTTAGGAAGCCAGCATCATGTCTTTTACTAAAACAGGCTATATGCTGTAAATTTCAGATAAATTTTATAGTGCGGAGTAATTTGATTTTCTGACTGACAATAAAATTTTTATTTTATTGTAAGCATGGCATACTAGAAGATGAGCTATTATTGCATTATTATGAATATATGTTGCCCTCTTTTTCTGTATGTTCTTGCATGAGCATCTCATACTGTTAGATCATTTAACAAAGAATGCCAGATAAGAAAGTTAGATAAAATAGAAACTAAAGGCAATTAAAAATGTACTTGCTGCATAAAGTGAGAACTGTGCCTAGCCAGAATGCAGAAATGTGTTTTCTACCTTAATCAGTTTCATGGCAAGTAAAATTAAGCTTTCTGGTGGAAATGTCACTTGTGCAGAGTAAGGATGAATCAACCAAAGAGATAGCAGAGTCTGAAGTTTTAACCTTGAATTTCCTAATATAAAACCAATCAGTTCTTTCTCAAACACTGTGTTAGACTTCTGCCTATCACCTGGATCCTGGAATAACTTCAAGGCAGTGCAGCCCACTGCTTGCAGATGGGAAATAGGAAAGTTATGGTGTATACTGAAAACAATCCAGCCCTTTGGACTTGCTGCTTTTATGACCTTTTACAAACTTCTTATGGGAACAGAAATATGCTGTCAGTTTGGTTTGGGCCTGATCAGGACTGAAATTTGGGGGGTGGGGAGAAGGAAGGAAAAATGCAATTATACCTCTTGATTTGGTGTTAAACCAGTGACATTTTAAAGGCAACCAAGCTGGCAGTTGCCAGCCTTTTCTTATGAGCAACACGAGGCAGAAGCTCCACAGTGAAGGTCACTGTGCTGGAAGCAGAGATGTGAACATTTTTGCATCTCTCTCTTTTGCTTTTTTTGGTATCTTTATATCCAATATTCACTTCTGCCCCTCACCTATTTTCTAAAGATAATACAGTTTTCAGAAGCCAGTCAGCATGCCATCAGCATACTCAGGTTCCTGGGGAGGCATCCTGAGCCCCAGAGTTTGTTTGCACGCTGCCCGTGAGCTGCCAGCAGCAGTGCTACCTGCTCCACCGCAGGAGCCCAGGGCCAGCACTGCCCTCCACATTCACAGGAGTCATTTGCAAAAGCATTTACTTTCTATTAGTAGGAGTAAAACTGGTCCTTGTGACTATGAAAACATGTCAGTCTAGTGAGAAAAACAAAAACAAAAACCAAAACAAACAAAAACCCCACAACAACAACAACAACAAAAAAAAAAAAAAAACCACAAAAAAACCAAACCTGACAACAATCTAAGAAGATGGTGTTGAACGGGACTTATTCCTGCCAGAGGATTTAGAGCATAGATGAACATTGCTTAAATATGGTAGGAACACCATGTCACATCAAGTATGTTACAGCACTTTTATACCAACTCAGAGTAAACGTCTCATCACATATGCTTGTGTGTGTAAAATTGGATATTTTTGCAGCTCTCTCCTTTTCAAAGGTGACCTGCACTGTTTTAATTTCTGAATGGATTAACTCCGAACAGCAGGGTATGAATTAAAGGCTCCTCAAGCAGCCATTAGAAAGTATTTTGGTTATTCAAATAATGGAGTTGCTAGTCATTTAAAAAAAATACAGGGAGAAATGTTCTTAAATGTCATCAGCTACACAGTGCTGGAATTGCTTAGGGGATTTCATGAGTTGCTATAAAACATGGTCCAGCAACAGCAAAAGCAGTCTGCCATTACCAGTCCTGTAAGTCTCAGTGTCTGCTTAAAGCACCAGATACTCATCCGCTGTTAATCACCATCACCTCCTGAGGTCAGCAATGCTCCTGCATTTCCTATCAAGGGAGGATTTGGGCTGACAGTGGAATATGAGAATGGGACTAAGAGACGACAAAGAAGACTGTCCCTTCGGGAGGAATTCTGCTGGTTTCTTCCAATGGTCCCTTCAGACTCCTTCTGGCTTCCCTGCAAATGTGCTCAGGAGCCAAGAAGGGGACTTCTGAGGTTCTCCCTGCCACCACCTCCTCAGGGGTGGCTTAGGGTTGAAGTCACATGGATCAAGCGACAAAGAGTGCTCTCACCAGAACAAATGCTCCTGTCTTTTGGCTTATGCTACAGCAGAGAGAATTTTCTCTACTAAAATCTGATTTGGAAGTGGAAAGCTATGGAAATGCCACATGATTTCTCCATAAAAACAACCAATTTCAGTTTTCCTAGGTGTAAAATACTGTTACCTATCTGCCACACAGCTTAATGTAGTTTCTGAGTGGCAGTTACAGCAAAAAAATATGGTCATCAACAAAACATAGTCTTTAAGCACTTGGATAGTTTCCCTGATTTCACTGAGGATCACTGGTATGGATGATGCTGCAGGACCAGCAACTGCAAAGGGAGATTCTCCTGGTGATGTTCCTGCTTTTCATAACCTGCTCAGGGTATGAGCGCAGGCAGGTGATAGCTCCTGCACTGCACAAGTCCCTTTTGCTGGCAGGATTGAATCAATAAATGACTTCAAATGTTATGATCCTAAGAGCAAAATGATTTGCACAGAGTACTTGCTAGAGCACAATAGTCCCCCATTACAATTTTAGTAGAAGAGGAGAACATAAAGAGAGTCTTGTTATTACTGTAACTTAGGACTGAAAAACATACTTGTGTTCCTAATTCGTTACTTTAATTGAATACAAAGATGTCAGCACTTCAGTGTTCAGCTGCTACATATAAAATCAAATTTCGTGGGTAGTAAATACAGTAGAACTGAAGGTTTTATGCTATAAATCGAGGGACACATTCAAGATAAAACTGTCCTCACTTCAGCAACACTATTACTACAATAACAACCTTAGATTTATTAAAATAGAACTAAGATTAAATGCATTTACCTTTCCTTTTCATTTTTATTACTTATTTTTTATATCTAAGAAACAAAAATCACTTAACATGAACTGAGTATTTTTACATTTTGAGCCTTTGTAAATTTTCACAATGCTGCAATTTCAGAAGAAATTTTTAAACATCAACTTCAATAAAAACTTAAGTAAAAGTTTTTCAAAAATTATTTGTCACTAGTAATTTGATATCAAAATTTCTTCTGTTTTGATTCTGTTTATCCACCAGGAGTTTTCCAATCAGTCCTCCTGTGGAGGGTACAAAGTCGTGGAATTGCCTCACTAGCAGAGGACCCAGCCAACCCATCCGTGGGATTTGACTGAGAGACTTATGCTGCTGAGCAGAGTAGCCGCTGGATTTACTTCCTCAGGTGCGTCTGTCACGAGTGCCTTTCCCTGCCTTCACACGGCCTGGTAGGTGAAGCGCTACGCGGGGACTCTGGCAAGGTGGTCATAAAAGTCACTGCAGTGCTACGTGGCTTAAGGCCATATGTGAAAAGAAATAACGATGCTTACTTACTGCATGAAGCACGCTGAGCTTTTGGGTGGAAAAGCAAAGCATAAGTGATTATTAGACCATTTGATTAAATGGTGTTTAATAGTTATTACAATAAAAGCTTTTATGATTGGTGGGGACTGACTCCACCTGCCCAGGGATCTGGGCTCTGCCCACTGGCAGGATTCAGGCTCCCAGGAAAGCCTGTGGGGAAAGGCAAGGGATTGCTCTTCAGGCAAGTTGTCACAGACCTGCCAGAGGACTGTCTCAGGATTTAAACCGTGATAGGGTCAGTAGGAATGGCTGAAAATGCTCTGAAGAAAAAATTTTCCAGCAGGAAACACTGATTTGATGCAGTTTCAGTATTCTTCAGGACTGCATGAATTTTACTGAAACTTCCTGGTAGAAACTCTGTGGGTGGGTTTTCCCAGCAGGAAGCCAGCAGCTGGCGGGGCCCGACTGCTTAAGCCTCCAGCAGTCTGTCCAGCCAGACAGGGAGTTACTGGGAAGCTAGATACTAGCACCCACTTTAAAATTGTTCCGATTTAGTTATTCAAAAAGTGAATGTTTCTAAATAATTTGTTCCCTATAAATCTTCATGCATCCAGTTTTGCATTCTGGTACAGAATGAAACCATTAAAAGTATAAAGGAAATTTTCTGCAGATCATATAATACACTTCCCATGCAATCCCAGTGATTAAAGGAAGTTATGGCTGAGTAAAATGGTAACTTTTAATGGAATTTCAGGGAAAAAAAAAAAAAAAGAGCAAATATTTTAGAAAGGCACCTCAAGTTTATTAAAATACAGCTCCCTCACATCACTTACTGCAAAAATCAAACTCTGCTTGTGACTGTAACTCACTGTAATGACTTCACAAAGTTGACTTTTGAGCGCTATTTTTTAATTGGGACGTTTGCCTGAGAAACAGCTGATCCACTGAAACATTTTATGTTCCTATATTCTAAATCCGTGGTGGCTGGGGTTTTTTTCCTTAACGCGTTTTAACAAGTAATAAACGTGGTGAGCTTGGAAGCCTGACAGCAGCTGAAGGAGCAGCTCTGGGCACGCACCCCAAGGGGACACCCAGGCTTGGATCGGGACGCCAGCAAAAGCAGCCGGGTTCTTGCTCCCCCTTCAAGTGCTCCGCAGTTACTTCCAGAGCGAACCGGGGAGAGCGGGAGCCGCCCGAAAAGGCCGCGGGCGAGCCCGAGCCGCAGCGAAGCCGCCCGCGGCGGGGGCGGGGGCGGGCGCGGGCGCGCAGGCGGGGCCTCCCGCTGGGGGCGGAGCGGTGCGCGGCCGCGGAGGCGGGGGCCGGGCCCGCGGCTGCAGCTGCGGTCGGGACCGCTGGTCGCCCGGGCGGGGAGAGGCGGGCTGGGCCACGGCGGGCGCTCCCCGGGCTCGGGGAGAGGAGCCTCGTCCCCGCCGCCTCGCTGGACCTTCCTGCGGGCACCCAGAGCGCACTTGCCAGTGGGATGGGGCTCGGAGGGCAGCGCAGCGCCGCTCCCTCGCTTGCGGGCAGCCGGAGCCCCCACTCGGCGCAGGGCAGTTGAATCCCGCCCGCGGCGGAGCAGAGAACCGCGACGACATTTATTGCTTCAGTCCCAGAAACGTCGCTTCCACCTGCGAGCGCGTTAGAGCAGCCGGCTGTGGATTTTCTATTTGCTTTCCCGCAAAGCAAGGTCAGTCGGGGTGGCTTTGGCTTTTTGGGAAGGAGTTCCGGCCCCGCTGTGTGCGATGGATTGAGGCGTGCCCGGCTGCGCCCCGAGCCCGGCCCCGGCACGCAGCCCTCATAGATGCGATGGAAAATCGGGGGCTCTTCTGCACCCTCTGTTACCTGATGTTCAACGCACCTCTGCTGTTCATTGTCACCGGTGAGTAGGAAACTTCTGCCTCTTCCTGCGGTGAGCCGCCGCTCCGGACACAACTTGCTGGCGGGAGCCGGCGGGGCTCGGGTGCCGACGGGACTGCCCGCCCTGCCCGCCGCTGAGCTCTGGCCGCTTCGCTGCTGCCGGCACTTGCTCCAAATCCCGTCCTCCCCGCTGCATTTTCCTGTGGCGGTGCCGATGGCTGGGGGCAGGGAGCGCTGCCCGGGGGGGCTTTTCGCAGAACAAGGTGGCACTGTTGCGGCCGCAGCTGCCAGCAGCGCGGGCTCGGCGCCTCCCAGCCACCGGCGCGGAGCGGGGCGCAGCAGGCGCGCAGCCCGGAACAGTCCCCGAGCCGGATCCGGGGGGGGGGGGCAGTGGGACACTGGTGCCCCAGTATCCAGCCGAGGGCTTTCCTGAGAGGACGAGGGCTTTTAAGGCCGTCGTCAAACTTTCCCTTCGCGCTGGAGCCGCGGCTCCCGGCTGCAGGGTGGCGGGGACCGGACCGGGCCTGCCCCGGGTGCGCGGTCCTGATGCTGCGCTTATCCTGCGGTCGCCGGGCTACGGGAAACCCGTGTCTCGGTCAGCGCTTGGTCCGTGAGCTGAAACAACTCATGTTACACCGACAAGGACTGATCTTGTCTTTTAATCTCTCCCGTTAACCAGCCCTTGTAACTCTTGTAATCTTCCCCTCCCAGCTACCTTTACTGAAGTTCCCAAAGATGTGACTGTTAGGGAGGGAGATGATATTGAGATGCCTTGTGCTTTCCGAGCCAGCGGATCCACCTCATACTCCTTGGAAATCCAGTGGTGGTACCTTAAAGAACCAGCCAGAGAACTTGCACACGAATTAGCCATCAGTGTCCCCGGCAGCAGGAGCAAGGTAATACAGTGTATGGAGATGTATCTCTTCATCGAGTGCAACATGCTCAGGGGGTGATCAAAATGAACTCGGCAGTCCCAGAGAGAAGAGTGCTTCCTCTACCCAGTGCCAGTGAGAAGCTGGAAGCACCAGCGTCCCCAGGCCCTCCCTGGGACGGAGGAGGACAGGGCATGCACCGTGGGGTACTTCACCTCAGGAAAGAACGTCAGTGCTTTAAGGATTGTAAATAGAAAATTACAAATGTCTGGCTGCAAAGCCAGCAGCAATGACCCAAGAGAGGCAGTCAAAAATAGCTGTAGTATGGAGTGGGGACAAGCAAAAACTAGTTCTTCTGTGGGCTGAGCTAGGAACTCTTGTAAAAGGTGGGAGACTCTGCTCACTGATACAGCAGAGAGGCATAAGGGACACACCTCTGGTGTTGGTATGTTAAGTATGTATCAATCTGCACATACAAATGCACACAGTTTCTTGGGGTGCACGTAGACGCCTGTGTCCATATCTGGAACTCAGCAAGACATTTTCAGACAGTCAGATGTAGTAATTAAAATGCATGAAGCAGAGTTAAATCTTGCATGTCCTTTCCCCTCCCCCTAGCAAATCGCCTGGCGTGAGGGCAGGCTCTAGTCTAAATTTTTCAGCTGCGTTTCCCCAGCATAAGCCAGTTCATTCTGCAGCCTTCCCCCCACTGCAAGACACCTGGCTGGTGCCAAACGGGACTGTACGAGGAGTGGGGTAAAGCAGGACTGCCATCCCTCCTGCATAAGGCACGTCATCCTCTCCAGCCCCCAGCCCCTGCGCCGGCAGGGTGCCCCACGGCAGCTCTGTGCCCGTGCCAGCTCCCCTCTCTGTGGCACGCTTGTTTTCCTGCAGAGCTCAAATAGAGATGCAAAGCATATAGACACTGAGCTAATGCGATGCCGCCTAGCTGGGGAAAGTGTAAGTCAGTTGCCAGACAGAGAAATAAATCGCTTGGATTTAAATGTCTTCTTTAACCTTATATAAAAACTGTGAGTTGCTTTTACAATAAATGATGACAGGTCATGCCTGGAGAATGATGACCGTCTCCCTGGGAGGCACATCAGTAAGATCTGACGCATCACTTAGGTTTACAGTAGTTGGCTGAAGACAAAAAAAATATCCAAGTACTAAACCTGCTGAGCGATACTTCCTCCCAGGATGTTTCAGGACCAAAGCTCTGCCATGAGCAGGGCAGGATCCAGCCTGCCCAAGCGCTTCACCGCTGTGCTAATGCTGCTGGTAAAGCGTCTTCCCACGGGTTTGTCAGTGACTGCAAGCAGCGCAGCATGCAACAAGCATTTCTTTGACTGCTGTCTGCACCCTTGGTGAAGGCAGTGCTCCTGTGGGCACCACAGGAGCTTTACCGAGACAGTCCCCCCAGCTGAGCACTGGTTTGCTGCCTTCTCCATTTCCTGGGGAACTCCCTCTCTGTCCGCCCCCCCCCCCACCACCACCACACACGGGCTGTTCAAATGGCAAGTGGAGAAAACTGCATCTGTCCTTGTACGGGGGTGGGAATATGAGCATCTTGTTGATGCGCTGGCAGAGCTGAGCTTAATCTCCTTTTTTTCTGTCCTTTTAGGTAACAAATAAGGATGCAACTAAAATCAGCGTAAGTGAAGCGTGAGCTGGGTGGGGGCACCCCTCCTCCCATACCCGTGGGGTTTCCTGCATGCCCCCCTCCTTTCCTGACACGGGAATGCAGCTGGTCTCGCTGGCAGCCCCGCTCCGGCAGCACGGCGGGAGCGTGGCACGGTTCCCCTCCTCGGTGTGTCGTGGCTTGGTCGAAACGTTGCCATCTGTTGCTGGTTTAGCAGTCACGTCTCATTCCTCGCAAATCGAGAGGAGGTGATGTTTGCCTCGCAGCCCTTCCTTAGCCACGTTTGAAAAAGGACTGTGGGCCAGATGGAGAGAAGTTTGCTTTTTTTTTTTCCCTGCCCTCTGCAAACCCCAGCCGCCTGTGGCGACGCCCCCATCTCCCTCCCCTGCAGATAACGAGCCCGTCGCGCGGGAGGCGGGCCCGGCCTTGCCTCTGCCCCGGAGGGGCGGCCGGGGCCGTTCCCTCCCGCCGCAGCAGGCCCGGGGGGCGGCCCCTACCCCCGGCAGGGCTGGGCCCTCTGCAGCCCCCCCCGGGGTGCTGGGCTCGCCCCACGTCTCGGCTTCGGGGCGGTTCGTGCAGGCTGATGGCTGTGGGGCTCCGTGGGCGGAGGGGAGAGGGGACCCCCCCTCCGGCTAGGGGCGGGCAGGAGGGGGGTGGTGTGGCAGAGCGCTAGCGGTGATGCGTGGGTGTGAGGGGGAGCAGCGGCTGGTTTCTGGACGGCCCCTTGGGACCCCGAAGCGGGGCTTTAACAGCGAGGTGCTGGGCTTAAATGTCCGGTGCGTTTGCTTGGGGAGGGGGGCGGGAATTGGCCCAGGCTCGGTGTCCTTGCCAGCGCACGTACGTGGGGCGAGAGCGGGCTCTGCCGGGGCTGCACCGGGGAGGGGAGGGGGAAGGGAGAGCGGCGGGGCCGGCGGCCGCTGCTGAGGCGATGCGCTCTCTTGCAGACGGTCCGCGTCCAGGGCAACGACATCTCGCACCGGCTGCGGCTGTCGGGCGTGCGGCGGCAGGACGAGGGCGTCTACCAGTGCCGGGTGGCGGACTACAGCGACGACGAGACGCAGGAGCACAAGGCCCAGGCGCTGCTGCGCGTCCTCTCCCGCTTCGCGCCGCCCGACGTGCAGGCGGCCGAGGCGGTCTCGCACATCCAGAGCGGCGCGGCCCCACGCCGCCACGGCCCCGCCGCCCGGCCCACGCCGCCTCCGGGCCCCGCCAAGCGCCCGCCGCCGCCGCCGCCCCCGGCCGAGGGGGGAGCGGCCGCCCCCGCCGCCAGCGCCGCCACCGCCTCGGCCGCCGCCGCCTCCTCGGCCTCGCCGCCGCCCGGGCAGGCCGCCATCCTCCGCCAGCAGCACCGGTCAGGTAGGGCGCGGGGCCGCCGAGTCCCGCCTCTCGCTTTAGGGTCGGGCGCCGCGGCCCCCTCGCTGCCACGGGTGCGGCTGTCGCTGCGCTGCTACAGCTGATCGCCCCCGAGCCTGGAAGTAAACGCACCTGAGTCAGCCCAAAAGCCGGGGCCGGTGCATCGCGCCCTGCCTCGGTGGGGGTGAGCAGAGGGCGTGGGGCCGGGCGCGGCGGGGACCTGCTGCCGTTCGGTAGGTGCTGCGGGAGGCCCTGCCTTCAGAATCCCCCTTGCAAGCTTTTTAGACGTGGTCTTTTAAACAGTAGCTGCAGCCTCGAGCGAGCAAAATGCCACCGCTGTTCTGCGGGGAGTTTAAATCAGGGAGCCGTTACAGGGGCCGGTCGCCCCGGGGGGGCGCGGGGCCCTGCGGAGCGGGGTGCGGGTTCAGAAGGGAAATGTCAATTGCTGTGGAATGAGCTCCACATTGAATTACTGCGAGGATAAGAATTGGAGATACCATGCTCTATAACGGTTTGCAAACGTAAACGCGTTAATACTGATTGTCTATCACTTAATACTGTATTAAGTTATTAATGCCACATTACCATATTATGGCTAGCCAGAAAAGCCCGGTGTAAACCTTTATTTCTGCCAGTGACATCGAAGTCTGGGACAGAGAACTCAGTCTTAAATCTGCACTGCAAAGGTGTTTCTAGCTTCAAAGGTGTGGTGCTGCTCTGGCTGGGCTTTAGCCGCATCTCAGCCACTGTCACTTAGCCAATGTTGAACAGAGCTTGTTGCCAAGTTATCAGTGGAAGAAGCAAAACAATTTTATGCCACCGACTGTGCAGGGAAAGCCCTGAGCTCCCCTCTCTGCTGAGTCTCTTCTGACGCAAATTCATAATCCTCACGCAGGAATGTTCAAACTCTTCCTGCTGCCTCTTCACGCTCCCAGGGCAAACGCTTGCAGGTTTTGGCTCACAGTAATGGAAATCAGTTGTATATGGGTCTCTGTGACCTGCTGGTGCTTTACAGCTGCTGTGGTTTATCTGGCTACTATCTTTCGCTGTTTGCTGAATAATTTAGTTTCTTTCTCATGTAGAAAAAAGTGTGAAAGCTAGGTTTTTACTCCTTATCATTCCTAAGACTAAGCTAGCTGGCTGTTCACTGCTGTCTAGTGGAAGACAAAGTTGTAATTCCCAAGGTCTAGCTACAGGTGATTGTGGGCTTTTGCTGAATTCTCTGACCACAGGAAATTAAACCAAACACTGTAATGCTCATGATCTGTAATTTTCCTGTTGGAAAGGTCTGATTTCCTCCTAGGAGCCCAGGGCTGGTATTTGGTTTTGTGTTTCCTCTTTCCACTCCCCCACAGTGAGAATTCTAGCAATGTTTTCCATGCTGGCAATAGAAGTTAGGTTTAGGATTCGCAGCACTGTTCGCCCTTCCTACTGAACCCAGAGCTTATGTGGTGCATATGAACTGAAAACAGGATGATGGAAGTGCAGTGGGCTCAGCTCCATCTTAACAGATGGATGTGAGTGTGTGCCGCCAAGAGAGCATGTCACATATGTCTGTTAGGGCAAGACCCCCTGCCCAGATCATCTAAACTGCTGTCTATCCTGATTTTTTACATGTCTGTGGTTCGGGGATGTGGCACTGCTGCATCATTTGTAGGCTGGATTAAATTCTGAAAATAAACTATAAGCAGTGGAGATAATGGAATGATTTACATCAGTGAAAAGGGTAGTGGAATGCAGAAAAATATTTTGTGGGGATCTCTAGATGGAGACTGATGCTAAGAGGGCTACAAAATAGGCTAAACCAAAATTTCCTGCTGTGACATCTCCTGTGTACGCTGGTGTCTGTGAACAGTGCCACTCTGTGGCAGCTTCCATGTCTGGAGAAAGCTCAAGTCAGTGTAGACAGTGCAGGACTCCTGTTCTTGTTCGCAGTACTGACTTTATAAGGTATAAACCAGAAACTGCTTTTTGTCTCCATACGAGGGAGGCAACTAACTTTGTATTTTGATATGGTAAAATACCTCTGTAAAAATAATGTCTTTTTACTTTGCTTGAATCAAGACCCCCTGAATAACAGGCTTCTACTTGGTTTATTTTAATGTCCATACATGTGGCAGATTGAAGCTGCCTGTAATTACTTAACAATAAAACAGCAGCCAGAGCATGGCTCCGGAGATTCGCACCTGAAAGACTCAGCCCTCGAAGCTCCTGATTCTGGACCACAACTGTCTGAGGCTTGCTTCCACGAGATGTCTCTTTGGTTGCTTTTGTGAAGCAGATTGCTGGTTGCTGTCCTAGTCCCCACCACTGGTGTATTTTAGAAAGACTGCCTGTGCCAGGCACTTGGTTTGAAGCAGGGTGAGACAGCTTGGTGTATGGATTTACCTCCCCTAGACATGAAGTGTTGCTCTAAACCCAGAATAAAGGCATGTGGATAAAATCTTAACGTGGAAGTCAGTATGATGAGGACTTGTAGGGATATTGTCTGCTTTTGTGAGGAAACTGAAGACTTGGGTTTCCAGTGGTGTTACTTGGGTTGGATAAGCACTAAACTTTCTTCAGAATGTCTTAAAAGAAAATTAAATCCTTGAACTTCAGAGTTTCCCATTTGTATGTTAAAGAGCTCTTTAGAGCTCTTTAGGTACAGTAATTATTATTCTTTGTAAAGAATGCAGTCTCCTTATAGGAAATACTTTTTGTTTTCTCTTCTCTTACTTCTGGAAACTAGAAGCCCTTTTGTTTTGAGTCCACCCGCTCAAGGCAGTGTTGTAGCTGTTTTTGACGCAGTATGGCTGTCAAATCAAAGAAAATCTTTGTTCACATACATGTATACGACTGCGGGACCCAACCCTGTGTTGCTATATGAATTATATATATGCATAGTAACATAATACATACATTTCATTACCCTATTTTGAGCTCTGTAACACACGTACAGATAAGTACTTGCACCAAATCTGTGTGTAGTGAATCATCTAATATATTTACTCTCAAAAGTCTTTAGCATTTGTAAGTCTTTTCATTGTACGTGGGGATATTTCCTCTGTATAAAAGCAGAAATGTGCTCAAACAATGGATTTGCCATCAGTGATTAAGAAACATTCTCATTTAATACACTGGAGAGCTAGCTCTGCCTAAAAGCTGATGACATGGCACTAGCCACAGTGTCCTGCATAAATTGGGTTCTAATCCTATTTTCCTTGCAATAGAAATCTTCGCAATATGTTCAGTGTAGTGAGATAGGTCCTCTATGTGCTTGTATTCCAATAAATGTGATTATAGATCAAATGCTGCTTTCAGATGTGCCTGCAGGGCTCTTGTTGACTTCAGTTGGAGTCCCCCAGTCACGCACCGAGGAAAAATGTGATTCTGTACATCTTCTAGTTCAACTGAAACATAAATTTATGAGAATAAATGTGTCTATTACTGAGAATCGCTAAAGAGCATAGAGCCTCATCTGACAAAGTAGGTATAAATAGACAATCCATAGTTTTTGACACGTCATCTGAAATTGTATTTAGTAGAAATTTATGATCAGCATTATAATATATAAGGGAATAGATCCAGTGTAACAGAAAAATTGCCCAATATGCCAGAAATATTAGCTATTCAAACAGAATTTTATCTGTAATGTTTAAATTACCATATAAAAACTTAGTGCTGTGGTCTCACAAGAGTCAAGAAGATTACTGCTTGTCTGCCAGTAACGTAGACTGAAGTGGAACCCGAGAATATTACTGAGGCTGCAACGAGGTGAAGATCTGCTGATAAGATCATTGGTTTTAAGACTATCAGAGTAGGACCGTTGTCTATATGGTTCTAAAGTAAAATATTTAGCTTTAAGTTTAAATGCTTACATACAAATGGAATCTTTTGCTACTGGAAAAAAATCAGGGTGAGCAAGTGAGAGTGCATGTAGAGTTAATGTGTTTGGAAGTGTTCCTAGTTTTTACTGAGTAAGTAGGGGGGATAGAGGAGCATCACTGAGCAAGATGCTCAGTGTCTCTGCCCCAGGAAGTTTGTAGTCCAAACGGGTGAGATGGGCAAATGGCAGGAAGAGTTGTGACTGACTGTGAGTGTGTGGCAGCTGTGAAATTAGATAGGAAAACTTAATTTCAGATCTCTTAAGCTCAGCACCTTAGTCACGAGACTAACTGTTATCTGATTGGTAAAGTAATAAACACGAATCTTCATACTGACCTTCTGGGAGGCAAATTGGCTGTATTATATCTTACCAAACTGTCTCCAAAATGAATGTCTGTGTATTGGCTTGGGGGCAATTTTTACTTTAACTTCTGAGCAGAATGTAGATCAGACATTGCAGCTTCCAAATTCCCTTTTATTTGTTTGATCTCTAGCCTCAAAGCTCTGAAGTGAAAGCTTTAAATAAAATAAACAAAGATGGGAGTGTGAAACAAGAAACTGTGCTTCATTATGCTTAGAGTGCTCTAGGAAGGACACAGGCAGGCTCATATGTTATGCAGAGATGAAGTGTTCACAGCAAGGAAGAAAATAAGTCTTCACTTCATGCCTATCCCCCTCTCCCCCCCCACAAAGCCTTTTATGTCTGAGGCAGAAGAAAGTCTGCTTGTGGGCTTCATGGCCTGAGATAATACAGCACCAGGTCCCAATTCTGGAGTCTCTGTGCATGTGCAGCTCTCCGTGATGCTCGTAAGGGCAGTACATGCACAAAGTCAAGCTGTGGCAACCTACCTTGAGGCAGGAGACCATGTAAGAGAGTGTTAGATCTCCATCGTGCACTTGGAAACAAAAGGTATTTTTTTGCAGCTTTGAAAAGGAAAGTAAATTGTAAATACTTTACAGGAAAGTAAATGAACCCACTGTTTTCTTGAGTGTGCTGGGCTGTAGCTGGTTGGAGTGGCTGTGGTTGAGTTTGGATTCATTTTGGGTAAGGGTTTGGGTGTAGGGCTCTCCTGGCTTTGTCAGAATTTGAATGACTCTGCATGCTAGTTTGAGAAACAGCCCGTGGAGCTCGTTTA